TGAGGCGTGAAACTCATGATAAGCTTGAACCCCGAAGTGAAAGGTGTATTTTCATCGGCTACCCACAGAAATCCTTCGGTTACCTCTTCTACAGACCCAGTGAGAATGTGGTCTTTGTAGCACGAAGAGGGATCTTTCGCGAGAAAGAATTTATAAGCCAAGGAGACAGTGGGAGGCAGATTGATCTTGAAGAAATTCAAGAATCAATTGGTGAAGGAACCTCAGACACTAGCAATCAACCTGAGGAGGAAACTCCTGTTGATCCAGCTGACGAGTCTGTACCTCCGAGGCGTTCCACACGGGTTAGGAACACACCTTCGTTTTATTATGGTTTTCATATTACTACGGAAGGTGATACGTTTATTAGTGATAGTACACTAGTAAATTTGGATGAACCTAGCAGTGTTAAGGAAGCCATGGCAGGCCCGGAGTCTGCTAAATGGAAGGAGGCTATGGACAGCGAGATACAGTCCATGTATGACAATCAAGTTTGGAACTTGGTTGACAATGTACCAGGCCGTAAAACAGTCGGGTGCAAATGGATCTTCAAGAAGAAGACAGACATGGAAGGAAAAGTGCATACTTATAAGGCTCGACTGGTTGCGAAGGGTTTTACTCAAACTCAAGGTGTTGATTATGATGAAACCTTTCGCCGGTAGCAAAGATTAAGTCTATTAGGGTTATGTTAGCCATTGCAGCATTTCATGATTATGAAATATGGCAAATGGATGTCAAAACCGCTTTCCTTAATGGAAAGTTGGCTGAGGATGTGTACATGAATCAGCCAGAGGGTTTTGTCAATGCAGAGTACCCTAATAGAGTATGCAAGCTTGAGAAATCCATTTATGGATTAAAACAAGCATCTCGTAGCTGGAATCTTTGTTTTGATGAGAAGGTAAAAGAGTTTGGCTTCTTGAGAAGCGAAGATGAGTCTTGCGTGTATGTCAGAGCTAGTGGGAGTATAGTTAGCTTCTTGGTACTGTATGTGGATGACATACTACTCATAGGAAATGACATCCCAACCTTGCAGGAGGTTAAGTCCTGGCTTGGGAAGTGCTTTGCTATGAAGGACCTAGGGGAGGCTACCTATATCCTAGGGATAAGGATATTAAGAGAAAGGAGTAGAAGACTAATTGGACTTAGTCAGAGTATCTACTTGGATAAGGTGTTGAAAAGGTTCAACATGGAGAATTCCAAGAAAGGAGATTTACCGATCCAAAGCAATACCAAACTGAGTAAGACTCAGAGTCCGAGTACAGAGGCAGAGATAGCTGAGATGAGCCAATTACCATATGCTTCCGCAGTTGGCTCGATCATGTATGCTATGACTTGTACCCGTCCTGATGTGGCATTTGCTTTGAGCATGGTCAGCAGGTATCAGGGGAACCCTGGCAAGGCTCATTGGACCGCGGTAAAGAACATTCTCAAGTACCTGCGGAGGACTAAGGATTGGATCCTTACCCTTGGTGGCAGTGATGACTTGAAAGTATTAGGGTATAGTGATGCTGGTTTTCAGACTGATAGGGATAATTTCCGCTCTCAGTCGGGCTGGATCTTTACCTTAAATGGAGGGCAATTTCTTGGAAGAGTTCCAAGCAGGAGACGGTGGCTGATTCGACTTGTGAATCAGAGTATATAGCAGCGAGTGAAGCAGCGAAGGAGGCGATATGGCTAAAGAACTTCATCGGAGACCTTGGAGTTGTACCAGCTATTAAGGAACCTATAGAGATTTTCTGTGACAACAATAGTGCGGTTACCTTAGCCAAGGAACCAAGAGATCATGGCAGATCCCGACACATTGACAGAAAATATCACTTCATAAGACACAAGATTGAAGAAGGACTCCTTGTGACAAGGAGGATATCGTCGGATGAGAATCCTGCAGATCCCCTTACGAAGGGACTGACGAGGGTTAAGCATTTTCAGCATGCGAGACGCATCGGGCTGAGGACGATATTAGTTTTACAGATTAGATAGTTTTCCTGAAACTTGTAAAATGTAATCGACGTTTGATGATGAATAAAATTTGTGATTTATTTATGAGTAAAGTGTTACTATCATTGTCAATTATTTACTATTGTTTCAGTTTTGCATGTTTTGACTTCCAGAATAATTAATTTATTCAAACCTCCACAATCGATCATACGTCGGAAGTAGGTATGAATCAAGATTGTCATGAATTGGGTTTGTAGATGCCTTAAAGGTGTTTAGACATGGCAATGGTTGCTGCAACATTCATGAGTACTCATAAGTTATGAGTATTGGTATAAACCCACGCTCACTTGTATCACTTCATGGAATTTATCTCGAGTGATCGTGAGACGATAACATCATATAAATCTTTAAACCTAGAGATATGAGTTGTTACCTATGAGTTGGTTGTGCATTGATTGCACGTAAACGCATCAGTAACTTGATGTTATAAAACGTGCCTTTGTGTACAATTCAATAAGTAGTAGAACAAGCATATCAGTCGAAGTTTATCTGTTCCTTCTAGAAATAGAAGCGATATCTGGGCCCCTCGATGATTTTGTGTTGACCCATGTACCAGGCCTGGTCAGAACTAAACCGATGTGTTCAGTGAAGTTCTTCGTCAAACAAATCGGAAAATCGAGAAACAACTGCTAGACAATAAGCAAGACATAGTTCCATGTGTTTGTCCGGCTGATATCATGAGAACAGAGGATTATGTGATCACTTATCTAAAATGGCGCTTCATAGTTCGACAGAGTCTTCATTGTTCGAGGGAGTTTTCGAGAGCTACGATTGTTGGTTGGTTCCTGAAGTTATAGGCAAATATAGTTATTAGACTTATCCAAGTGGGAGTCTGTTGGATAAGGTGTCTAAGTCCATAACTTATTTGGTATATACTTGACCCGACCGGCATGGTCCATTTGGGTTGCATCTCATCCAAACTATTATGGATAATTTTATGAGAGTTATACACATATGTTTATTAATATATTATGAGTTATAATATATTAATATGAAGTTACGTTATTTAATTAGTTTTAGTCTTAAATTAATTATGAATTAATTTAGAGATTAAAAGGAATACTAATTAAATTATGGGCTATTTGTTTTATATAGTGTGGGCTAATACTCATTTGTTAATGGGCTTATGTGGAAGTCCATGGATGATCCATGGAGATTTTAACCCATGGATCCTTGGAAAAGGAAAAGACATGGGTTATTAGGGTTTCACCCTAACCATGCATACTATATAAGCATGCTTATGGAGCATGAAATGGAGCCTAAGAGAAAACTAGTGAACTAGTGTGTGTGGCCGATTTTATACAAGGTGTATACTCTCATCAAAGTTTTCCAAGAGTTTGTGGTGTTTGTGATTCCATTTGAGGCATTCACACTATTGGTGCTTGGCCCTCAAACTCCTTAGAACCAAACTCACCAAAAGGTATGTAATCTCTTCTAACTCTTTTATGTTGAAATGTTCCTCATGCCATGTTAGATAGGTTATAAACCTTGGAAAATTATTATTTTGCATGTATTTAGACAAACATAGATCCAAGGTTTATTAGGGTTGCATGTACACTTAGGAAGTGTTAGATTGCTCAAAACCCAACAATATCATGTTTGGAACCATTCTCTGTGCTAGATTTCAAGCTAATCCTAATGAGTCTTATCTTATTGCAGTTAAACGCATTTTTCGATACTTAAAGGGCACTCAGAACTTGGCATTGTGGTACCCTCGTAACTCAGCACTTGAACTCTTTGGATACACTGATTCCGACTATGCAGGATGCAACTTAGACAAGAAGAGCACGTCAGGTGGATGTTATTTCCTTGGAAATCGACTAATCAGCTGATCTAGCAAGAAGCAAACCTCAGTAGCTATCTCCACTGTAGAAGCTGAGTATGTTGCAGCTGGGAGATGTTGTGCTCAACTCTTATGGATTCAGAATCAACTTTTAGACTATGGGCTTAAATTCACAAAGGCTCCTATATACTGTGATAACACCAGTGCCATTCAGATCACACAGAATCCTGTTCAGCACTCAAAGACAAAGCATATCGAGATCAGACATCACTTCATTAGAGACAATGTTGAGAACGGCAAGGTTGTTCTGGAACATGTCAAGACTTCAGATCAACTAGCTGATATTTTCACTAAGGCCCTGGATACTCAAACTACTGTTCACATTATTGGAGAACTTGAAATGATCACTCTGGATTAAAAAAAAGTTTTACTAATGTTTTCTGTTGTCTTATAAACTGATGTATTTTTTTTTGCTGATGATGATGTGTTGATGATGTTTATCATGCTGAGTACCTTGTATGATCTCTTATCTCTATCTCTTCTACAAATCTTCTAAAGTAAAGTTGAATGATTCACTGTATTAAACCATACACTGATAACAACTTGAAACTCTTTGCCGATGGTTAGACAAAACACCAAGATTTATCACACTCAACTATCCCTTCTTACCAATCTCACACTGATTCTGTGATTCAATGTGACAAAACACATGTTGATGAGAGTCTAACAGTCTTTTCCGATGGTTAGACCAAAACACCAAGGTCTATCACACGCAACAATCCTCTCTTCACCTTCTTCTCACTCAGTGTCTAATGATTCAGTAAGAAGCACCACTCACTGATAAAGACTCAACACTCTGTGTCGATGGTTAGATAATGAAACCAGTATCTATCACACGCATCAACCACCTTGCTAACCTTAAACAAGCAAGTTGTACTTTGAATTGACGACAGATTATCTTTCAGCATGTAACTTTTAGTGACACTGATCTCAGCGCTTACGCAGACACTGATTGTCGTTTCCTCTTCAGTACAACGACTTATTTTTTTCCAACGGCTATTTTTTCGGATTTGATAGTTTGTTAAGATACACAATTATTTTCGAAAAAGATAATCATTACCTTTTTAAAACCGTTTATATCCCACCTCTCTCCCAAACTTTCCTCCCACAATTCAATTTTCCTTCTCTTTTCTTCAAAACCCAAGAATCCAAACTCTCTTCAATGGCGGCATCACTGTTTACTTTCTCCTCCACCTCAAGAAGAGTCATCCCAGCTCCAAACTCTCCTCCTCTTCCCATATACATCAAAGCCACAAATGTCGTCTTCAACCCTGATATACCAGATGTTCATCGTGGTCTTGGACTTGATGATTTTGTCAATTTTCTAGTATCTTGCAGACTTCGATATGCTATCAGTGAGGTTCCATCAGAGTTCTTTCCCAAACAAGTATGTGAGTTCTACTACACCACACCAGTCAATAATGAAAACAACATCATCTCCTACAATATTGGGTGTGGCCGTCGCTCAGTTTTCATCAACGCTGATCTCCTCCGTACTGCACTCAGGTTACCAATTTTTGAACCGTTCTCTAAGCTTCCAACTATTGAACGCTGTCGACGCCTCTTTTACCAACTGGGCTATGATCACTCCAAGGCTGGTGCTCGACCAGCTCTCATTCTACATCAATGTATGACTCTTGGATGGAAGTTCTTCATCGGGGCACTTTGTAAGTGTATAGGCCACAAATCTCGCAGTGGTTATCAACTGAGTGCTTTTGAGCAACAAGTGGTATGTTTACTTCTCCTCAACAAATGTGTTGATTATGGGGCTTTCTTCTTCGATCAGCTTGTCCAACTTCTTCGGGCCAATGTAAGAGCTGATCATGTTCCGTTTCCACGCTGGATTGCTCTTGTCCTGGATAAATTTTATGCTGAAGCCTATTACTCACACGCTGGAAACCCCATCCAATGCCCACGCATGTCAGTACGAATGTATCAGGATGATCCACTGGCCAATGACATCGTCATCTCTGATCGGATGCGAGAATGGATCGTGAATCCATATACCATTCCTTCACTAAACGCTGACACTGACGAAGGAGCTGCTGATAACGACGAAATTAATGCTGAAATACAAGAAGGTTGTCATATTTCCCCTCAACTTTCTCATCATACTATTTCTGTCACTGAAAGGGTTCATTCAGCTCATGGGGAGTCATCTGCTCAGGGGGAGCAACCATCTCAGGGGGACCAACCTTCTCAGGGGGAGCAACATCGATCACAAGAAATTCCAGGTACTCAGCTCATTCAAATTCCGGCCTCAGCGTTTAATGAGCTTCTTACACTGACTCGAGATATGAGTCAGCGTCTTCTACGTATTGAGGCTGATGTCAACCAATTGAAGGGAGTTATTCTGTCAACTCCTTCCCCTTGCCCAAATGATGATGATGATCAAAAAGGGGGAGAAACTGATTCTGTTGATAGAACCTGTGAGCATGGATCTAGGGAGAACATTGTAAAACAGACCAAGCCATCACAGCCTGAGCACGAGTCTGAGAGACCAGCAGAAACTGAAAAGCCTACTGAAGAATGTGAACATGATGATGAGTGTCAGACGTTGGACATGAACTTCATAGATCCCACTGTGCCAGTTCAAGGTGAAAACTCAGATGTAGTTAGTTAGGATCTTGTTCCTTTATCTCAAAAGCGAAAGGCAGGAGATACTGAATCATCTGATTCAAATGTTGACACTTCTCCTCCTAGCAAGAAACATAAGTCCATTGTCAGCATATCAAATCTGGCAGCTGAATGGAATATGACCCCTGATCAAGTTAAGTAAATCCTTGATGAAGCCAATAAAGCTCAGCTTCTAAAGAATATTGCTCAAGCTGATGAATCCCTCATTCAGCACAAACTTCAGGCAATAGGATCCTTTGAAGCTCAAATGCAAAGGTTTCTAGAATATCAGTCCAAAACTAAATCTTCATAGCCTCCTTCCAGTAGCAGTAAGTCAAGGACTGATAGTGTTCTTGACAGGATTGATCGCAAAAGGTTTCATGATGTTTTCAAACGAAGAGTAAGCAATGACAAGATCATCAAAGTTAAAACCTCAAAACCTCGTGACGAGAAAATCCTTACTTTGCGGATCACTCATCAAGGTCCTCAACATCCGTACACTGAAGTTATAAAGAGAGACGAGATGATTAGATACGGATACTCTAAATGGATGGAATTGCTCGAGTTGGCATCCAAGCAAACTTTAGCTCTTTCTTCAGAACTGACCTGTGCTCTTCACCTACTGATTAAGAAAGTTCAGCATCTTGATCTTGTTCCTACAGGGCGTCCTCAACAGCAAGGCCCAAGTTCCTCAGTTCCAAGAATCAGAAGAACTAGATTTCAAGTTGATGGTGAAGATGTATTGGTTCTAAATTTTGGTGCTGAAGAAATAAACAACTCTCTTCCTATTGGTGTTGAGCCGGTTCAACATAAGTTCATCTCTGTTCCTGAACATGGAATGTTTTATCTTGAGAAGAACAGGAAAATGTGTTTTCAGCGTACTGTAGAGATTCCAAGGGCTCCAACAGAACATCTTGTTGGTTTAAGACAAATGTGTATGAGTCATCAAGATCTCTCTGGAGAGTTTCATATACTGATTGCTATGGAGTTACTGAATAGAAGATAGGAGCTACTAGATAGTCCTTACTGGCCAGTGAAAGTAGAAGCTGAAGATGAGTATGAAGAATTTTTGTCCATGGGTGTTCTAGTCTAGCTGGTTTTGAACATCATCTTATTGGGGGAGATTGTAAGGTCGAACCTTATAATATGATGATGTTTGAGACTGATCACTCAGCGTCAGCGTATTAATTGCTCAATGTATAGTTTCATATTCAGAATTTTGTAATAGATTTTGTACTTATCTAGTTTCCATAGTTTTCATCTATTAGTTAGTTGGTATATCCTTGATTTGTAGGGATTGCCTAGATTAGTTCTATATAGTCTTTTGTACAAGTTTGTAAAAGGTGCATCTTTCACAAACCCTAATAGCCGCTTTGTGCATTCGATAATCTCTTTGTGAGATTATCATTCTTAGTGAAAGTTTATCTTTGTGAATCCTCGTTGTTCTTGTTTATAGTCATTGTTTGATAATTTGTTTGATCTTAGGAACTTTCACCTTCACAAGGCCAAAAACTCTCTGTAGATCAATAAGGGGGGCTAGGGTCTCACTCTAATGCTCTCTGGAAGTGTTAGGGACAAAGGAGGCCAAGATAGAGTGTTTAAATAGGGTGAAAACACCCGGATTAGGGTTTTTGCCCAACCAGGGACTACTCGCTGAGTCCAAAGTCCAAATCCCACTCCTTGACCCACTCCTACTCGACGAGTTGGCCCATCAACTCACCGAGTCCAAGACAATATATATATATATATATATATATATATATATATATATATATATATATATATATATATATATATATCTTTACTATATTATTAAATATATTGCCTCTTTCTTGAAAATTAAGAGGTACAATAGTTATTAGCTAATGTACAATAATCTTAAGCTTATATACCTAATGCACGGTATTACCTTTTGTGTTACCCTAATCTCCTCTACAAACAAATAACAGCTGGCGTCAAACCAAATCGCATCCTTGCCCTACGGAAGCTCCCTTCATACCAGAAACCGATTCTCCACCTCAAAGCGAAGCTGAAGATTAGGGTTTTTTCTCGCTAATTCGAAACTCTCTTACACTGATTTTTACCAAAGCTAGCATTACTCACTGCCACCACATGGCCACAATCTCGCCTCCATTTCTTCATAGGATGCTCCAGATTCGAATCGACAAGGGCTGTTGTTTCTCTGGGTTTAGGACTTCCAAGATTTCTGTATAATTTCCCTAAATTCTGTTAATCTCTCCTCCTATTGATCCCTAACGTATATAATATACATCGATTGAAAGCCAGCCATGGGGCCGGGTATGTTCGATTCAGGCCTTGTCCAGACGATTCTTTCGATAGATATCCGATGACGTTCGAAGTCTGCAACCTACCAGCGTGCGACTGCTTTGCAAGGTAAAAACTGGAGTCGCACTTTTCCGTATCTCAGTTCACCCGACATTCACCACTCATGATTCAAGAATCAATCTTTATGTTTCTCTGCTAAGCAATTTTTTTCACTTCTCTTTATATCAGACTGAATTTTTTCTCAAGTAATTCAGTAAATGCATATTTGTAACACCTATTTCTGTAATCATGTCACATATTTCTCAAAAATCAGCTTTTCTCACCTACATCATTTCATCGCCTTCATCTATACGTATTCTTCCTTTTTGACTTTTCCGGTGTTCAAAACCTGCTCCGCCTCTCGCATACTTACTCTTTCCCTAATCAAGGGAATGGGGCGATGGTAGGAGCTCTCATATCACCAACTAAATCCCGATCAATGATGAAGGGGGAACAATGACCAAGGTTATTTAAGGTTCAATACTCCAGTCTTCATTACTATTACTCCTTTTCTTTTTTGGTATGAAATCCATTAAACATAGGCAGGTAAGTATAAACGTATGGATGCCTGTTGTTACAGATCCATATGAGTTCAATCTTTCACAATTACGGTTTATCTCTGGTTCATTTAGCAAAGATCTGAACAGTAGAAGCCTGTTGGCAGGTAAACTTTTATTTTGCCGAATTACTTATATCAAACATTAAGTTGGTTTCATATATATATATATATATATATATATATATATATATATATATATATATACTTGCTATGTTTAGGATTAGTTCAGACAAACAATAGGATCGCCATAGGTGCAACAATCTCACAAATAGGTATAATTTTTTTTCTTATTCTTTTTTTTTTTGCTTCACGCCTGCAATGCAATCTCATCTTGTGTTGATTTAATATCATAATCACAACATTTCATGAGGCTAATGAAATAGTTCATAAATATTGTTGCATTTTCCAAACCGTTAATTTCAGAGAGAAATGCCAAAAATACCCCTGTAGACTTAATTTTCTATAATAACTTCCTTGGGTTTCTTTTGTCTGGCCATTATGTGTATGTTATATAGCTTGGATATTACTATAAACTTTCCATTTGGATTCATGACATGATTTCGTTTTTGCATACTTGATTATAGTTATTAGTTACTGATCAGGCATGATTTCGGATGGGTGTAGGTACAATTAATTCGGATCCAAGTAAGAGTGTCAGAATATGGTTGGACTACTCAGAAGATCTTTCATTTCCTCAATTTCTTGGTTAATGGGGGTCTGTATATTTTTGTTATCTTTTCAAAAATGTATTTAGAAACTCTGGAATGTGTTGATTCTATTAGTTTTAGAGTATTCATGTTTTACAGGACATCATGTTTCAGTCTTGAATAATATCAGACTGCCAAATTAGCCTTTGAAGTTGGCTCTACATTTGCCCCAGAAGATACAAGATTCACCGATTGGATTACATCTTAACTTATTAAGCTTTAAGTGTACTGTACATCTCCATGCTATTGACTTTCTGATTTTTTTTACTTTTTTGATATATGACATTCACTCTTAATGTTTTCTTAGAGTGTGTTGGTGAAGATATAGAAGATTTGGAACATACACCAAAAGCTGAATTTGAAGGATACTTTAAAGTGACAAATGTGATACATCGTGGTTCCCACCATCTTCTCCTGAAGGCCTTGAAGAGTATTTCCTTTTTTGGATCACATATATTTTTTTATCTTAATATAAATCTTGACAACTTATGGAAACATCCATTAGATGTCCTGTTCTAATTCTCTCAATCTTTTTATCATTTTAAAATCTACATCCAACAATGTTGCAGGTAAGACAAGATTGAGAGGTGAAAAAAGGGGCTATTTGCTACAAGATCACCACGTCCATTCCCAAATTGGTCATATAGTCACAAAAGTAAGTTAAATCATGTAGTTTGTCTTTAATAATCATTACAAGATACTAAATGCAATGATTTTGGTTCATAAGATTTTTTTTTCTTTAATTTTATATTTTTGATGTAAAATATCACCACATTGTGTGAATTTCATTATGCATATACAGCAAACCCTAAATAAACTAGGAATAAAACCTCTTTTAACAGTTTTTATTAAGGGGCTACTTAGATTTATGACAATTCCTTTTTTTTTTTTTTGAGGTGACACAATTTTGATGGCATAATTGGGTTGAGGCTCAAGTTGAAAGAACCGATGATTTCTTGTTGCTGATTGTTTTTTAATAATCATTTGATTCATTTGATGTTCAATGCATGGCTACCAATATATAGATGCATCAACTTTTATGTATCATGTTCTAAATGAGAAAAGTTGTATGATTGACGATTGTTGTAACTTTTGTATCGTAAAATCAAATATTAACTTTCAAATATATATTGAACATCTAATACAGTTGTATATCCATAGATAAGAGATGAATTTACTTATCAATAACAATATACATATTCTCCATTTGGTCTAATGCACCGGTTTCAATTTTGGTTTTTAAGGACGATTTGTGTCCCACTACATTGCATGTGATTTCAATCGCCCTGGGAAAACTTGTCTTAGGAAACTTGAATGGAAAAGGCATAGAGAGACATAAACAACAAATAGAAGGTACCTTATTTACGAATTTACCCCTCTATTGTAACTTAATTTACTAACAGTTATTTATTGATTTTAAATTTGAGTATTAGTGATTACTATCATTTGAAGAGGCAAATTCAATCCAAAGTTGTTGTTGATGGATTCAAATCAAAGTCTTTCCTTGAGCTGTCTAAAGTGGATCAACAACTGAAGCTGAAAGAACGTTTAAAGAAATACTGCCAAAAGCTTTATAATTTTTTATGTTATAAACTTTAAATTTTATGTGACATGACATGTTAGCATTATTTACATAGCATTTTGTGATGCGTGTTACAGGCGTATAACAGAGTGCTTGAGAAGCCAACTCCTGAAACTAGAGAAGCAGGAGTTACAAGTAACATGCACTTTTTTGATTCAGATGGCATGAACAAGAAGTATGACACCCCTGAACAAAGTAAGAATATCACAAAATACAATAAAAATTGATGTTTATTTGGTTTATTGACTATTTTACCCCCTGTTAAGGCTCATGGTTAAGTAAATATACAAGAAATGATTGTTTCACTTTTTGGTAAATTTGAGCATTTTTTTTTCATTTAGATGAGTTAAAAATGAACAAAAAGGACTTTATAACGATATGAAAGTCTTATAACATAATATATAATTATTTTATAATTTTCTACCCGTAACAAATTATGCGTTCAATATCTATCTCTAAGAACTCATACAATAACACTCATGAGTTCATAACAAAATAGGTTTTTTTACTATTATTTTCCACAATTATTATTTATGGGCTTATATTTTATTATTTATGGTGCAGAGCATTATATCATGCATATGAAGAGGTGAACAAAAGAATTCTTTTTTTTTCCTGTAACCGTTATAGCCCAAAAAACCGAAATATGTGTTTTCTATACCCGTTTTTTAAACTGGTCCAGTTAAATCCTAACTAGCGGTTTAATATAGGTTTTTCAAAAAATTGAAACTTTTTTTTTTTTCCAGTTTTTCTAAAAAACCCGATTCCTTTAACCAAGAAAAACATATTTTTTTGACCTAATTTCACTTCTTAACAAACCGAACTGATTATAACCGAATCCGATTTTAGTATAACATGCTTTTTTTTAAAAAAAATTTGGTTTTCAGAATAACCAAACATGTGTAAACCGTTATTTATGTAGGTATTGGAGGGGCTTTTGAAGGAAGGATTGTTTGAATAACAATGCACTTACTTACTACCAACACTACTGTGATTTTGGTCCATGTTTAAAGTGCAATGCCCTGATTGGCTAAATGTAAGAAGTAGCAATTTACATACATTTTTTGTGTAATATAACATCATATTTTAATTACTTAACTTTAAACTTTTTTAAATATGTTTTCGTTTTTTTTTTTTTAAATTGAACTTTAATTTCAATTTTAGTCATGCAGTATAATCATAATTAAGATGCTATTAAAAAAAAGCATATAAACTTCGTTGCCATTTCTTGCATTTTTTCCACACTTTTAGAACCTAAGGTGTCCACCCCTAAAACAAGACAATCGCGAAAAAAAAAACAATTTCCCGAAACGATACTATCAACGCCACTGTATTCGCCATTCGACTCCGTCTCACATTAAATATATTTTCTACCAAACTAAAAGATACATTTCCATCATCAAATTTCAGATTTCAAATAAACATTGCTGATAAAAAAAACTAATTCACGAAACAAAGTATCCATCACCCGTTGCTTAGCACGATTAATAACGATGGTGAATTCTATATATCAAATGTGGCGTATAAATAAGTGTTGGACAATTAATAATGCACAATCAATCATATGTTCATGTACATTTGTAAATAATCCCAACTTTTTATTTTTCATTCTTATTGATTTTGAGTTTGCTAACATTACTTTTATTGATAATTGTTTAAATGTAGGAACCTATTTGCGCAAGAATAGTAATCGCCTCTAAGAACTAATTTCTGAAAGAATTTATTCGCACCCGTCGCTTAGCGCGGGTAAACGGCTAGTATATATATATATATATATATATATATATATATATATATATATATATATATATATATATATATATATATATATATATATATATATATATATATATATATATATAGAAAATAAATGTCAAGGAGTACGTACCGGGAACCAGGTGCTACAGAACATGACTGTTAGGTCCTGAAAACAGATCTTTACCAATGATCAAGAAATCACACAATCAAATAGAATAAGAAATAAAGTAGAAACATAATTGAAACAAGTTTGCACACGCTTATATTGCATAAAACGTATGGTACAACTTACACTGTATATGACTGTGAATACTTGTGCCATCAACAACCATTAATGACCAAAACAACCCCTATATATAGTGGGCTTGAGGACTTGGGCCGGGTACTGGGTTTACGACCGTAAACAGGCTTACGGCTGTAAACTCTAAACAACACACCAAAAACCTGATAATGACTCAAAAGAACTTATTACAATGTAAGCCTAGACCAAACCACTAACTAGACCCTTCAATGGCCCAACAATCCATTGACCAAAAAGGTCTCTATACAAGATCATAACAATATAAGCATAAAAATAAAACAATAAAGATAGAGATAAGTCACATACTAGTCATGACGTGTGACGCTGCTCGGGTCTCATCCGTGGTCAGCTAAAATGACCTGCTCTTTACTGCAAGAGCCTCCGCCTTTCCCTGGCGCCCATCGTAATCCTCAATATGGCGGACGCAGGCACCGCCACTGCTTCTCCAGAAAACCTCAGGCAATCAACCTTTTATGACCGATTTGATTGTAGTGAAAACAAATCAAGGCCCTCTTAGGGGAGTCCTTGCTCATATGGGCCGCCTGACCAACCAAATCATCCTGAGCGCACTGAACGACAAGGTCCACCATACGACTTGCCGCACTTGGCACATAAGCCCCGGCCATCCTGGCCTCCATTGTGAACATCGGAGGTCTTAGGCTTCTTAGCCTGACCCACTACCGTCTGAACCTACTCCGACTTCAGCTTTGTCCTGAGCTCTAACTCGATTTCCCGCTCATGGTCCTTTTCAATCATGTCATTTAGGGTTTAGCACCCTGAGAAACTCACAAACTCCCAGATATCATACCTCAATATAGCATGATATATCATCTTCCTCATCTCCTCATCTGCAGCGTATTGCAGAACCAACAACGCCCTCTCCCTAAACCTTACGGTAATCTATGCTACAGTCATTGTGGTCTGGTGAAGCTCCTGGAACGCCCTCACCAACTGATGAACCTCTATGGTCAGTGCAAACTCTCGATCAAACCTCCGCACAAAATCTTCCCATGTCATCATAGTCACACGCCTTGAACTCCTGGAATGAGGGAGTTCGAGTCCTAATCAAACCCGCAATGATCTCGGCTCGAAAAGACCTATGAATGTAAGAGGTAAGAAAATCATCACGTTCAATCCATGCAAAGCTAAAAGACCACCAGACCGTACCACTCACATCTATTGTCGGCTGCAGCTTCTCTATAAGTTTATTATCCTCTTAACATGATTGTATATCAAATGTTAACATCATTATACATATGGGTGAAAATGTAAAATTTATATAAATAATCATACTCACTCAACATCAAGAAACACACTACATTCCTCCTTTTTAAAGTCCTAATCTTGGACCATCTAATTGTTGGATTAGTGTCTAAGTCCATAACTATTTTGGTATGTACTTGACCCGATGGTGCATGGTCCTTTTGGGTTGCCTTCACCAAAGCAACTTGATTGGAGAAATGAATAAAGAGAGAGAGGATAATATGATTTATTAATATGTTATAAGAATAATATATTAAAGGAGAAATCATATTTGTTTAATTAATATTGGTCAATAATTAATTAAGAATTAGTTTTGTGATCAAATGTAATTAATTAAACTAGAGGGGCTGATTTGTAATTATGTGATAGTTACAAAATAAGGTAAGGATTATCTTATTTATATGGTGGATGAATTTAAGGTTGGAAAGCCTTAGAATTCGAGTATGATAAGGATTCAAGGATTATCTTATTGGTTGCTTAATGGATAATCAACTAGATAAGGATAATGACTGAAACCCTATCTCTACACCTATATAAACACCCCTAGGGTCATGAACTCGTGGATCCTTTCCCAAGAGGTCCTAGATACGAATTCTAACCTCTCACCTCTCTCTTTATACCTTCTCCATTTGCTTATGGTGTTTGTGAGCCATTAGAGGAGTGACACTTGTGACTCTAAGCATTCCAAAGTCAATTCAAGGTGGAATTGGGATTGTTATTGCTACATAACAATCAAGGTATGTTCTTAAACCTAATTACATATTAATATGATTACTTTTATGCTAGAATTAGGGTTTATAGTCTTGGATTCAAAGCATGTACAATAGAGAAACCTAGATCCTAGCATTAGGGTTTGTATGAGCATATAGGATGTCTTATCCATCAGTGGTATCAGAGACTAGCTTGGTTTCAATTGTATTGATGCTTTGTATAACTAAAAAATTCGATTTTTTGGATTGTGGAGGCTGGACTCGCCGAGTCCATGGCTGAACTCGCCGAGTCCATGCAGACTCGACGAGTCAACTTGTCAGATAATGCTTATCTCGGGATTTCTTGCTGTTTTTGCATATGGATAGTTACCTTATCATGTTAGATCAATATAAATCCGATTTTATGATATATATGACTATATTCTTGATCTAATTAAAGATAATTATCAATTAACAAGATAATTGTTTCCTTATAAGATAATTGATTAATTATTTTGAGTAAATTGATAAATTGTTTTGCAAGAAATCATTAAACAAATCAAATATGGATAATTATGTAATTAAATGTTAGTTTAGATTATTTGTTATTTGATCCTTGTTGTTATGAAAAGTTTCATATTTTCCCCTTTAGGTTTTATAGTTTAAATTTGAACCCAAAAGTTTTGAAGTTTTGTGTAACAGCCCGGAATTTCAGGTATTGTTTTAAAACTATTTTTGGGACATTTTAGGAAGGGACTCGGCGAGTTGGTGCCTGACTCGCCGAGTAGGACCACAGGCTTGGTCGCGGATGCACGACTGGACTCGACGAGTCCAGATATGGACTCGGCGAGTCGACGCTGTTCAGCAGAAACCCTAGCCATTTAGTTTGGAATATATAATGCCTCTTAGGCCGTCATTGTACGTTTTTTTGGCCGATTGTGAAGAACCTAAGCATCTGTGGACGACTAGAGGAGAAGGGAAGGCTATTGGGACCTTGAGGAGATTGTTAGGCAAGAAGAGGCAAGGTTTTGGTCAAAGGAAGATCAAGAGGATTGAGTTCTGAAGGTTGGGGACACAGAGAACACGTTTTTCAGGTAATACTCGGACCATTTCTGTTGTTTTGGTGGTGTACACGAATCTAGGGTTTATGAGACCCATTTGGGGATTAGATAGATTATTATGTTGTTACCCAATCGTTTATACCCCAGTAATAGGATGCTTAGAGGTCCAGAAAGTCCCATGATTGCATGTCTCGGGACCATGCGTATTTCAGGAGGCAGATGATCGACTGCATGGCATGGACTCGCCGAGTCCAATGATCAGACTCGGCGAGTAGCTTGAAGATTTACTGGGACTCGCCGAGTTGTTCTTCAGACTCGGCGAGTAGCTTGAGATTCATTGGAACTCGTCGAGTTGTTCTTCAGACTCGGCGAGTGGAGTCGGGGTGGCCCCGCGATTCTTCCACGAGGATCTCGTCGAGTCAGGAGGGATACTCGACGAGTAGAAAGGGGAACAACAGGGAAGTTGGGGAGGACGTCTAGACTCGTCGAGTCGCCTTTGCACTCGACGAGTCCGGTCAAGTTGACCGTTGACCAGAGTTGACCTGCATGTAATTTCGTAGGGTCAGTTGTCTTGTTTGATAAGATTATTAATAAGGGTATATGGTATTATAGGGAGACTGCAGATCGGCGGACCGAGTGCGAGTGGTTTCAAGAGTTTATAGTTTACATACTACGAGGTGAGTCTTCTCACTATACTTCACCCGGAAGGGTATGACTGTGAGACCGGAAGGTCGTATATGATATGTGTTATTTATGCTATAAATAGAAAGGTAGATGCTATGCATGATATGTATGTTTATACGGGCCGGAAGGCGATATGTTATGTGACAGAAAGGTCAGGTATGATGTATGATGTATGTGCTATGTGTATTATATTAAATGTAT